AAAATGGTGATGTGTATAAATATGTCTTCGAATATCAATATGTTGAAAAATTCAAATAAAAAAAAATAGCAACAGATTCTTTAGAACAATATCATAGAGAATCGGTTAAGACAGATTGCACTTGTTTTATTAATATGTATTGGCCACTTAAATCATCAAATCCAACTATCACCAAAATGAACCTTGAACATCACAGACATGATCTTAACCCTAGAATAATTCGTTTTGCTGATATTTATCGACAGCTTTCTCAGAATATAATGGACAAGATTCAATTTTATGTTAATACAATTTATGATATTAACCAGTATACTTTAAGGCAGCTTCTTTGTAGTGAATTCAAGGAGTAGTTATTTTTGAACAGAGATTTGGCTAATACTATCCAACAATTTCGAAGAAATAATATAATAGATTCTGAATGAGACCCTGAAAATGATGCCTTAAATCTTTTTAAAGAGTTACAAAAAATGAAGAAAAATGATTCTACATGGTTTATAACTTATCATTGTATTAAGAATCATCTTTATTATATATTTTGGATGATACCTTATCAACAAACTCTTTATTTAAAGTATTACGATGTTATTTTAACAGACAATACAGCATGAACAAATAAATATTATATGGCATTATATTTTTTGTGGATATCAATCAGCATCACTATTCAAGAGTGGTAGCTCAGGCATTAATGTTAGATGAAACAACTTCATCGTATATATGGGTGCTTAAAAATCTTCTGGCAGCTACAAACAATTTATCACCAATGATAATATATTCTGATTGTGATACTGAGTTGGGGCTAGCAATTGAATCTGTACTTCCAACTACATGACATATATACTGTATTTTTCATATAGTTCAAAATATCAAAAAAAATTTGCTGGGTTCTCTTAGTTCACAGTTTTCCAATTTTCAAAATGATTTTTTTATCTGTCGTAATACATTATATAAAAAAATTTTTGAATCTTGATTTAATTTATTATATACAAAATTTTCTGAAACCTCTTCATATTTGAAAAATATATTATATGCAATTAAGGAAAAATGGGCAAAGTGTTATACTTTTCAGGTAATTGTAATTAAAACTATAGAACTATAGTCATTTTAGTG